CCTCGTGTGCAAAAGTGTGCAAGCTCTCGTCCCTGGGTTGCCAGGACTTCCAGAAGAAAGAGTCCCCGCATGCCTCGGTGTATTTTTGAGTAACACTTGCTCTGTCTTCCTTATTGCTGAGGGCCACCACCCATCTCGACAGCCTATGCTGAATTCACCTGGGTTCTGCTGACTGTGACCACGAGCTCCCGTGGAACCCTGCACCTCTTAGGGCACTTCCCAGGCCTTCGATTATTTAATGTCGGTCTTTGCCTTGAGCTCTGGGAAAGCGATGACTGCCTTGTTTCCTACTCTGGTTTTAGGCTTAGCACAATACCTGTGCTACGGTATTGTGACAGATATTCAGTAAATTCAACGTGGACCGAATTTTCTAGTACCTGAGGAGGGGTGTGTTCTTCCACTGTCTGTCCCACATCATTGGTGGTTGGGCTCCAGATGCCAACCTTCTCCAGTCTGTTGTGCTACCTGGAGAAACTGTGACTTACCTGGCTGTGTTCTGTAGTCGGAAAGCTACAAAGACGGCATCAGAGATCAGATTCTGATTACCTGAACCACTACTGTAGTTTCAAAACGACAGACTTCTGGAAAGTAACCCTGTGATTCTTTTTTAAATTTATTTATTGATTTTTTTGGCTGCGTTGCGTCTATCTTTGCGGTATGCGGGCTTCTCATTGCGGTGGCTTCTCTTTTTGAGAAGCACGGGTTCTAGGTGTGTGGGTTCAGTAGTTGTGGTGTGTGGGCTCTGTAGTTGTGGCTCGCGGGCTTAGTTGCTCCATGGCATGTGGGATCTTCCCGGACCAGGGATCGATCCCGTGTCCCCTGCATTGGCAGGCGGATTCTTAACCACTGCGTCACCAGGGAAGTTCCTACCCTGTGATTCTTATTAAGGCTGAAAAGGATGTTTGCCAAGAGATTCAATCTGATCAAGAGGATTTTAAACTGAATATTGAGGGAGAGAGAGAGAAAATAATTACTTATTAAAATAGTTAACTAATATTAATAGCTACTATTATCCAGCGCTAGGTACTGTCCTAACTGATTTACATGCATTAACTATTTAATCCTTGCAGTAACCACATGAGTTGGGGATTCTTATTATGCCCATTTTAAAGATGGAGAAAAACCAAGCCATTTGAGTAACTTGTCCAAGGTCAAGTCAGATGCTAGTTGGGATTCAAATTGGGGCAGTCTAGAGTCTGTGCTTGTAACCTCTGTACTAGTCTGCCTTTCAAAACTGTGAAGCTTAATGCTCTGAAAAAAACATTGTGTGATAGAGACAAAAAAATTAGTATTTCTCAGAGAGAGATAAATACTGTATGATTTCACTTATATGTGTAACCTTAAAAAAAAAACAAAAAAAACTTGTAGTAACAAAGAGTAGAATGGCGGTCACCAGGGGTTGGGGGATGGGGGAAATGAGTAGATGTTGGGCAAAGCGTACGAAGTGGCAGTTGAAAGTTCTGGGGATCTAATGCACGGTACTGTGCTCATAGGTAATTAGACTGTATTATATACTTGAAGGCTTCTAAGAGAGTAATCTTAAACGTTTTCACTACAGAAAGGAAATGGTAATCATGTGACATGATGGAGGTGTTAGCTGAGGCTGTGGTGGTAATTATAGTGGGGTGTGTAAGTGTATCAATTCAATAGACTGTGCACCTTAAAGTTACACAATGTTATATGTCAATTAGCTCAGTAAAGCTCGGGAAAAACATTGTGACTATAGTTGTGCAGCAAGGAAACATTGATCATTAAAAATCTTTCAGAATCATCATTAATATGTTTTAAAAATTGATCTATTCAGCTGATGATTTAGAAAAGGCTATGTGATGGCTTTGAAATAGTAAGTTACTAGGCTATGACGTATGGACTTTCACTGCTTTCATCTTTTCTAGATGCTTTAGGCAGAGGCCCATACCTGTACAAGAAGGGACATACAATATGCTTTCAGGCTGGTATTTCTGTTAATAGTGTTTACAGTCACTTTTAGTAATGTAGAAGGCAAATGTGATTGACAGGGAAAGTATAAACACTACCAGAGGATACTTTAAATAAGAAAAAAAGTATATACATAGAGACAGTTAATGGAGTAAAATCTATTTGCAGTCATAATGCCTGGATGCTTCCATGTAAAGCGTATTTTCAGAGGCAGTTTTACAAAGTATAATATATTAATTATTTTTCAGAAAATATTCACTCTACCCATCTCCACTCTCCATCCATTGACTTTCTCACTCCATTGACATTGGACTTGGTCAAAAGTCTTCCCCTGGTTGATTCAATAGGGCGAAAGTGATAGCCCGCCAGTTCCAAGTACAAGTTAAGAGATGTTATGCTTACCGTTTTTCCCCTTGGGCTCCTACCACCTGCCGCGCTCTAGGTAATCACCGATCATTTAACCTGAGCTCTAGGATGAGAAGATATGGGAGGCACGGCACGGTCGATCCCAACCTTCAGCCTGGAGCCACGTCCAGATAAGTTAGCCAAGTGTATCTGAACCAGAACTGACCTGTGGACCTGAGAGTGAGAAATGAGTGTTCATTATTGTAAGCCACTGCAACTTGGGGGTTGTTTGTGATGCAGCATTATCACAGCAAAACCTGATGAATACATTTCCCCAAATTTAGTAGTATCTTTTCTATTTTTATTAAAAGAAAAAAAACAAACAGAAAAACAGAGGACTGTGGGAAACGGTCAGCCTTGAGAGCAAGCTGCAGACATGTCAGGCATGCCGCCGCTGCTCGAAGGGACTGTGCCTACTTGTTCCCCTCCTTGTTCCATTCCATGGGAGATAAACCACCAGGGCCCAGAGATCAGAAAGAATATAAACTGAGACAAGCAAAGCTGTCTTCCCCCGGCACGTGCAGGTTATTTTTGATGATTCTGGGCTTATGGGTTTTCTCCCAGGGAAGTTAACCTTGAGCCGAGACAGTCTGTCCATAATGTAAACCACCATCTGGCAACCAACCTCCCTTTTTCTAGTCTATATAATCTGCAACTGTAGCGCAATAAAATTTGCCTTGCAACCGTCAGTTGTCTTGGCCCTTCTGACCCCATTCGTCGGTACTACTTCAGTTCCTTACCCCTTCCCTCCTGACCCTGGGCGGTGAAATCCTCTTTCTCTGGCTGGTCCGCGGCAGAGGACTTGTTCCAGTTGCTAGTTCTTCCTTAAACTTACTTTCACACATGACCTATAAAATATTAGTCAGTCTTCTCCATGCTGGATACCATCTGTTTGCCCCTCCAAATGCACTCTCCATTCTCTCCCACCAGGCTCTGCGCTTTAAGAGGCTTAACGTCACGTTTGGCCAATGGGGAGCATTGACAGAAGAGCAGAAGGAGAAACAGAGTGTGGGAGTGGGAGTATTTAATTCCCGAACCTTCTCCCTGCTGGGTCGCTGCAAACTGGCTGCTTCCAGTGGTCAAAGAACATAGCCTCAGCCAGGCAGCCCTCTCTCTGCATTTCAGTCACAGCTCACTCCCTTTGTCTCCACGGGGGCCTTGGGGTGGTTAAATCCTGGTCACTAGCCCCAAGGTACTGCACTGTCCCTTGTGGTTTCCTCATGCCCTGCCCTCACCTCCACGAAGAACCCCTTCTTAAACTTCCTTCAAAGTGCTCAGTTTGAATGTGACATCTGTTTCCTGCTGTGATCTTGACAATACAACTTCCTTGGTTAAATTTTATAAAAAGGATTGAAGTGGCGGAAGTTCAATTTAACCTGGTGTTCTGACTGACACACTTTATATCAAAAAGAAAACTGAAGCCCACCTATGTGGAAAATGTGCACGGCTCCCAGCCTTATTTTATTTTCCCCTGGAGACTCATTTTGCACTTGATCAGGTGCATGAGACCTTTTTCAGGGCCTCCTTTTCTGTCAGGCACCTTGATATTACTTCCAGCTCCAAAAGTTTATGCTAATTCACTCAAGAAACTCTCATAGCTTTTCCCTGTAATTTCCTCCATAATTGCTAGACTAACTTAGCTTTCAAATTTCTTCCCAGGATTCATAAATGAGAAAGACAAGTGAAACTAGAGTGGGGGAGGTAGAAGAATAGTTCTTCTCTTAATTCTCTAAACTTTCGTTGTAATGACCCTCTTTTTTTTTTTTTTTTTTCCAATAATAGGCGATACTATTTGCCTAGGCTGTGAGACCTTAGGCAACATATTTGTCCTTTCTATACCCCAGTTTCCTCAGGACTAACATGTCAAAATCCGTACTAGAATATCTACTTTCAGGTTTATTGTGAGAATTTAATACAACATATGTAGAAGTGATGAACCTGTATGGGGACCCAACAAATGCCCATTTATTCTTTCTTCCAACTGCATACTTTAAAATAATGCATTTCATGTACTTTTAAAGTTCATTCAGTCCTTCTGCAACTGCTTTTCAGAAAGTCTGGGTATTTGGAGGACTTCCCTTTTCCCCCCCTTACTTAATATATATTTTTTAATTGTGGAAAAATATACATAACATAAAATTTACCCTCATAAACATTTTAAAGTATATGGGTTCAGTATTGTAAAGTATATTCACATTGTTGTGCAATCAATCTCCAGAACTTCTTCATCTTGCAGTTTTGAAACTCTATACCGACTAAATAACAATTGCCCATATCCCTCTTCCCCGGCTCCTGGCAACCATGACTCCACTTTTTTTTCTCCCCCAAACTAGAGTCTTTTTTTAAAAATACTGAATGGTAGTTGATTTACAATGTGGTGTTAGTACAGCGCAGTGTTTCAGTTATACATATATATAACTGAATATATGTACACACACACACACACACTTTTTCAGATTCTTTTCCCTTAAAGGTTATAACAAAATATTGAGTATAGTCCCCTTTCTATACAGTAGGTCTTTGTTGGTTATCTATTTTATATATAGTCGTGTGTATCTGTTAATCTCAAACTCCTAATTTATCCCTACCCCTTCCTTTACCCTTCGGTAACTATAAGTTTGTTTTCTATGTCTGTGGGTCTACTTCTCTTTTGTAAATAAGTTCATTTGTATCTTTTTTTTTTTAGAATACACATAGGAGTGATATCATATAATATTTGCATTCTACTTTGTGTTTCTATAAATTTGACTATTCTAGATGCCTTAGGTAAATGAAATCACAGAGTGTTAGTCTTTTTGTGACCAGCGTATTTCACTTATCATAATGTCCTCAAGGTTCATCCATGTTGTAGCATATGTCAGAATTTCCTTTGGTGGACTTCTTTTTTTTTTTTTTAATTTTTTGGCCGCATTGCACGGCACGTGCGATTTTAGTTCCCCCACCAGGGATTGAACCCGCGCCCCCTGCATTGGAAGTGCTGACTCTTAACCACTTGACTGCCAGAGATTGGTGGGCTTCCTTTTAAAAATGAATTTTCTAAGATATACTTACCAAAATTCCTATGTATCATTTAATATTACGTTTCTCCATGTGTTCAAAGTGCCCCCAATACTGCATTATGGTGAAACTGCAGAAAGTGTAATATGTCCTTAGAAAGCATCCTTTAGTTACTAATATACTCCTTATGAATATGGTAAGTGTCCACATGGGGATATGTATTATCCTGAATCAGCCAGCATTCACTTCCACAGCCTCTTCTTTGTCAGCACTCTTGCTTAGAATTGTTTTAAGAAGTTTAACGAACAGAAAGGATTGCAGTAAAAAAGCATATTTCAAACATTAACTATATAGACCCTCCATTGATTCTGGAATTCCTGAGCAATTTTAATTTAAAACGCTCATTTTCCGCACTCATGCCTCCAGTGACTAGATTCCTTTCCAGGCTCCACTTCAAGCCTGGATTACTGTGTTCTTTCTCCCTGTTTGGAAAGTTCAGCTTCCCAGAGTTCCTGGATCTCTTCCGAATGTAAAGATTTGGGTCTCTTCCAAGACCTTCGCTGAATGCAGATGCACCGCTAACTTCTCCAGAGCCCGCCCCTGGGAAACAGGCACAAGGCAGTCTTGGTGGTGAGTAGAAAATACTCTCTCGGAGTCAACCTAGAGCAACTGTTATTCACCCTTTGTAGCTGTGGGAACAATTTCTGTTCTCTCTCTGCTTCATGAGGAAGTGGAGGTGCAGTGTGCAAAAGGAGGGTGATCCAGCTGTGGAGAATGCCCCAAATAGGGTCAACGTTGCCCCTTCCCCAGTTTTATTGAGATATAGTTGACATATATCGTTGTATTACCTTAGGGTTTGAACACGATGATTTGAAATATCTGTATATTGTGAAATGATTACCACAGTAAATTCAGCTAACGTCCATCGCCTCACATCATCACAACTTCTTTCCCTTGGGATGAGAACCTTTAAGATTCATTTCCTTAGCAACTTTCAGATATACAAGAGTATTGTTAACTACAGTCACCATGCTGTACATCACATCCCCAGAACTTATTTGTCTTCTAACTGGAACTTTGTACCTTTTGACCCCCTCCATGCCCACCTCATGCCTCTAAGCACCAATCTGTTGTCTGTTTCCACGAGTTGGATTTTTTAAGATTCTCCATATCAGTGAGATTGTACAGTATTTGCCTTTCTCTGTCTGACTGATTTCCCTTAGCCGAATGCCCTTAAGGTTCATTCATGTTGTCACAAATGGCAGGATTTCCTTCTTTTTTTATGGCAGAGAAAAAAATCGATATCATATATATACATACATATATACATATCATACACACACACACACACACACACACACACAGAGAATCTCACATTTTGTTTATTCTTTCATATGTTGATGGACACTTAGTTGTTTCCATGTCTTGGCTATTGTGAGTTATGCTGCAGTGAACCTGGGGTGCTTGTATCTCTTGGAGATAGTGATTTTGTTTCCTTTAGACATACACCCGGAAGTGGGATTGCTGGGTCATATGGCAGTTCTATTTTTAACTTGTTCAGAAACCTACATGCTGTTTTTCATAGTGGCTGCACAAATTTCTATTCCCACCCACAGTGCACAAGCTCCCTTTTTCTCCACACCCGCACCAACTTGGTATCTCTTATCTTTTTGATGACAGCCGTTCTAACAGCTGTGAGGCCATATCTCATTATGGTTTTTTATAATTTTTTTTTTTTTTTTTTTCTGTTACGCGGGCCTCTCAATGCCGTGGCCTCTCCCGTTGCGGAGCACAGGCTCAGCAGCCATGGCTCACGGGCCCAGCCGCTCCGGGGCATGTGGGATCCTCCCAGACCGGGGCACGAACCCGCGTCCCCTGCATGGGCAGGCGGACTCTCAACCACTGCGCCACCAGGGAAGCCCTCATTATGGTTTTGATTTTTGTTTTCCTGATTACTAGTGATGTTCAGCATTTTCTCATGTACCTGTTGGCCATTTGTATATCTTTGTTGGAAAAAAGTCTATTCAGTTTTTAATCAGATTGTTGTTTTTGTGTGTTATGGAGTTTTATGAGTTCCTTATATATATACTTGGATATTAACCCCTTATTAGAGATATGATTTGCAAATATTTTCTCCCTTTTCATTTTGTTGATTGTTCCCTTTGCCGTGCAGAAGTTTTTTCGTTTGGTGTGGTCCCACTTCTTTTTTGTTTTTGTTGCCTTTGCTTTTGGTGTCATATCAAAAAATCACCACCAAAACACATGTCAGGAAGTTTACGCCCATGTTTTCTTCTAGGATTTTGTGGTTTCAGGTCTTACATTGAAGTCTTTAATCCATTTTGAATTTGGGGCGGAAGGATGATCTAGCTGTGGAGAATTTTCCAAGTGGGACCAACATTATGTCTCTTATACTTTATGTCTCTTAAACTTTCCTAAGTTTCCCAGTTTTAAAAGTTAATTTATTTTTAAAAACTTTTTAAAAATGAATGACCTTCATCCCTGGCCCTCTACCATAGCCCCACTTTTCGTTTTCTTTTAGACTTGCCACAAAAGGTATTTTCCTCATCCAGAATAATTTACCCAAGTCCCTCTCTACCATTCCATAGGTTTCCTGTCCTTTAAATTCATCTAAAACTCACCTACTTCAGGGATCTTTCCCTGGTTAAAAGGCACTGCTCTCTGTAGAAATCTGTTTACAAGGAAGTGCATTGTAATTTATATATGAGAACGATTCCTGAAATACTTGCAAATTACTTTCTTTATAGATGCAGTATTTTAATGCACAGTCAAGCTCTGTGCTTAAAAGAGCTCTATAATGGGATTAATCACCCTTTTAATTTCTCTTTTGTGTTGTAGGAATGTATACATATGTATATATAACTTAAATATAGATGTTTATACGTATATATCTTAAAGTGAATTATAATGAAAATTAACTAGTAGTACTTGTGTTTAATATTCTTGAGATAAACTGCCTTGTAAATATTTTGGTTGTGATATGTGATTAAGTGCAAGGACTCTGCTACAATTTTGTGTTCCTCAAAAGCAACAGGCACACTGCTCAGGCTATGGTGGACGCCTAATCCCATAAATTTTGTGTTAACAATTGCTTTATTTTAACCAAGTTTTTTAAAAGTTTATGTATTATTTATTTATTTTTGGCTGCACTGGGTCTTTGTTGCTGCGCACGGGCTTTATCTAGCTGAGGCGAGTGGGGGCTACTCTTCGTTGTGGTGCGCGTACTTCTCATTGCGGTGGCTTCTCTTGTTATGGAGCACGGGCTCTACGCGCGCGAGCTTCAGTAGTTGTGGCACATGGGCTCAGTAGCTGTGGCTTGCGGGCTCTAGAGCGCAGGCTCAGTAGTTGTGGCCCAAGGGCTTAGTTGCTCCGCGGCACGTGGGACCTTCCCAGACCAGAGATTGAACCCATGTCCCCTGCATTGGCAGGCGGATTCTTAACCACTGCACCACCAGGGAAGTCCCTAGATTATAACGAGTTGAAGGTAAATGACAGGTAAGGAACTCAAGATGGTAAGTGTAGATTATTCTTTGGATTATAAAATGAAAAAGGCATATAAAGTATTAACTAGAGGAAAACTGAAGTTGGAAAGGAAGGGGTGTGTTAAGATAGGAAAATTCCTGAAGAGACGGAATAATTGAATGAGTAAATGATCAATGTTTAGACTCTCCAGTCACGAATAATTAGGTTGAAACAGTCCTCTGCCATTTACTGCTTATATAATGTTAGGCAAGTTATAAAACCTCACGATAGCACAGTTTTCTTATTTGTAATATGGGGATAAGAATAATAATATTTACCTCATAGGCAGACATAGATCCCGGTTTTGTGGGACCTTGAAATTCATACAATTTGGGGGGTCTTTTAAAGAAAAGGAATAAAAGATAAAAAATTAAAAATTAGACAATGCTTTGGATGACTTGTGCAATCGAATGCTTTGAAGTTTAAGTTTCATTAGTCTCACAGTAAATCTGCCACTGCTCATAAAGTTTAATCTCAGAGGATTAAATGCTATAATGAGGTAGACCATAGCCTAATGCCTGGCACCTAGAAAAGGCTCAATAAATGTTGCTGTGACTATTATTTGAACCTGTTTATAGAGTGGTGGGTAGAACCTCTTTAAAGGGAGAGTGTGAAGATACAAGTGTGAGAGAGAGAGAGACAGAGACAGAGAGAGTGAGTGAGTGACTGAGAGAGAGAGAGAGAGAGAATTACCAAGGGAGGAAGACACAGGTGGAAATGAGATGTTAGAAAATAGAGGCAGGTGAAGAGAATAAGTTTTCAGAGAGCAGAAGTTCTTAGTTTGCTGAAAAGGAGGTTACATGTATGCACAAACAAAGTTTTCAGGTGTATAGGAGCTCTTGATTCAAGAAACTCATGATTAATTGCCTCTGTCTTATCTGTAGGTTAGAGGCAAAATCACCTGTTGTGCGTAGAAGAACCCAGGTTGATGATATATTGCTTTAAAGAGCACCTGCATTAGTTCCTTATTGCTGCCATAAGGAACTACCACAAATGTAGTGGCTTAAGGCAATACAGATTTAATATTTTGTAATCTGCAGGTCAGAAGCCTGAAATGCATCGGCAGGGCTGTGTTCCCTCTGGGGGCTCAGGGGAGCATCTGTTCATTGCCTTTTCCAGCTTCTAGAGGCTGCCTGCATCCCTTAGCTCGTGGCCACATCACTCTGACCTTGGCTTCCATCATCGCATCACCTTTTCTGATTCTGACCCTCCAGCCTCCCTATTATAAGGACCCTTATGATTACACTGGGGCTTCCTGGTTAATCCAGGATGTTCTCCCCATTTCAAGGGTCCTTAACTTAATCTCACCTGCAAAATCCCTTTGCCATTCACAGGTTCCAGAGATTAGGATATGGACATCTTTGTGAGGGGGAGAGGGGGCTCTTATTCAACCTACCACATCATCTGGCTGAAACAATAATCAATATTGATTGACTACTGACCCACTAAAAACGTAACCCAACAAAACGGCTTGTTTGTAAACTTTCCATTGGTGTCCTATTTGTCCTTTTTAAAAATTGCCCTCCAAATGTAAATAAACCTATTAGAGAACAGTTCTGCTCTAGCTCATTCTTTGTTGCAATTTACAAAAACTTTCATATGTAGTACATAATCTTATTTAATTCCTAGGATAGAACTCCATTGTCAGAAGAAACACACACCACAAGTATAAAATTCTGGAAGATAACGAGTAATGCATAAGGCTCCCCAAAGTATTCCAGACAACTCTAGAAAAGAGTTGAATTAAAATGATTACAATAACAAATCATCTCCATGATTTATGTAAGTTAATAGGTAGGAAGGCAGAAATATGGGTTCAAATGCTGGTGGGTCCATAGAAAGTTGGAATTTCTTCTTGATTCTTTCTTCCCCTGCCCTCATGCATCCACCTAAGTCACTAGGTCCCACCGAATTCCACGTGTTAAATATCTTTCACATCTACCCACCTCCCTCCGACCCCATTGCCTGGATTACCGGAACTGCATTCTGATAGGTTTTTCTGCCTCTGTTCTTGCATCAATTGGAGACCTTTTCCCACAATCATCTGGCATGATCTTTTAAAAATGTTACATGAATCTGAGCCTGTTACTCTTCTGCTTTGAAAGCGTTTAATGACTTGCCATTGGCCTGAGGATGAAGTTCTTCCTTGCTTACCAGGGCTAACAGGAAACTTCAAAAATAGGGCTGGGGCTCTCTCTCTCTCTCTCTCCATGCTATACTCTTGCCACTCAACCCCTCCCATACTATGTACCAGCTTTGTACACGACAATTCCTTCTGCCTGGAATATTCTCATTTTGGTCTTTTCCTCTTCTTCCCCAGTGTCCCTCACCCCTCCTGCCTGGTTAACTCCAAGTCAGCTTTCTGGTTTTAATGTAACCATCTCTTCTGGAAGGCCACGTCTCCTTTCTGAGAGGTTTTTGTGCTCTTTGATTCAGTTTTAGATGAGATTAAATTAGATTTTCTTGCCATTTCCTCTGCCTTGCACCCCATATTTCCCTAGTTTTAACATTCATCATATTTTTCACTGCTTAATAATTTTCTCTACTTCCAAAATAGACTGTGAACTCTATGACGGCCATTGACTGTTTTCTCTGGCTGCTATGCCTGAGTACCCAATGCAATGCTTGTTGCTTACTGACCCTAAATAAATACTTGCTGGATATGAAGGATAAACTATTCTTATTGGTTCAGTTATTCACCTATCAATATATACTGAGTGCCTAATATGTGCTAGGTACTGCCCTAAGGCTGGGTCTACAAAGGTAAGTAAGACTGACATGGAACTTAATGTTAGTTTTCATCGTAGCCTAACTTGTATTTTGGGTAATTATTTAAGTGACTCCATCTCTGCCACTGCGACTACTTCTTTCATGTGCCTATAGTGCCAGGCATGGGGTGGCTGAAGACAAAGATTGGCTAACATCAATGGGCTGAATCATTCTGTCCACTAAGTTGTTCAGTGCTTCCTCGGTGGAGGATGCCTTCTGGTAGGCAATTACATGTGATGTGAAAATTTTCATATGTCCATCCACATGCCTCTGCCTAAGATCTTGTCTCTGACCTTTCAGTCTATTTTCTTCCATGCTCTTGATGGGCAGGCCAAGCAATTTGCTGCCACCCAGGAGTCAATATATATTCTCATCCTGAGCCACTTCCTCCATGCAAAGTGGGTAGCAAATACACTGCTCACAGATTCTCTCATCAGGAAAAATTTCCCTTGACACTGTCATTCAAGGTCACCCCTAACTATGACTGTAGTCCCACCACTATCTAGTTTTGTCTTCTACCCACATACCTAGACAACTGAACTGAAAACCAACCTCTACATTTTTTTTTCTCATTCAGCTGGTAGTAGAAAACCCCCATAGAGCCAGAGATGTGAGCTGAGGCAGAAGCAACTGTGGTGGGTGCAACTGTGGTGGGTGACATGGGGGTACAGGTTACTTCCTTACGTAGATTACTCTTGTTCATGCTTAATCCCAGATGTACCTTTTCCATCTCATGACAGGTTGCTGCTGGGTTCACGCCTATTTATGACTTGGTGGATCTAACAGAACCCAGCTTGTGATGGGCATTTTTCTTTTTTAATTTGCTAGAGGAAGGTTTATCGACTACCAAGAATTGACAACATTTTCTGTAGGGTAATCAGATGGGTCATCATATTGTATGTGACATTCTTCCAGATGAATGGGAAGATACTATCGATAATGCTATTGATTGCCCAGATAGAGATTATATTTCGGTAACAGCAAGACAAGAGGACAGACCTTTTTCTTAGACTTGCTCACTTTTCCAGACAGATATTTAACGCCTTCTCTTCTCAGAGAGTATTTGGCACACGCTCTGTCTTGTGTATCACATTAATTGCTTTGAGATCTCTCTGCCACGGAGTGCAGCCTGGTGTAAGTATTTTGCTGCATTGGTCTAACCTCCTCAGGACCTCTCTTAACCACTAATTTGGTTTCCCACATTTCCAGGTCCATAGTCTTTCGACTTGTAACCTCCAGACTTGCAAGCTCCATCATCTCCATCGATGAGGAGAAAGTAGGTCCCAGCTTCCTTTTCCAGGTGGACCTTGATGTTGAGGGGCTGCTCATACTGCAGTTTCTGGCCCTCGGTCTCAGTCCTGACCTGGTACAGCTGCTCCTCCAGGGCCCCGATCTGAGGCTGGATCCGGGCGAGCTGAGCACAGTAGCTGTCCTTGGTGTAACAGGTGTTTTCTGACACTTACTGTCCTGGGGTGGGGTGGGTGGGGAGATAAGCTCTTCAAGACTCTGGGACCCACCACTTCAGTAAATACTTTAGAGGTCAGGGGCATGTTGGAACATCCTTTTCAAGGGATGTCATTTTTTGTTCCGTCTTCCCTTACAATACATTGATTTTCAAGCTTGTTGTCATTAATGCCCTGCTAAGGAAACTTTTAAGGTATTTTTTTTGTCTAACAACTTCCCCATAATGGAATATTAACAGTACAGGTATACTGTATATTTGTTGAGGTTACTGTGGCCTTTGGAGGACCACAAACCATTGTATTGTATACATTTTTTGCCCCCTTAGAACCACCTTTTGCCCCCATTACGATGACATCACCCCCAGTAATAATGCACACCCTACTACAAAGAAGGAAGTACAGTATCTGGCTGGTCTCTTTGGCTGCTGGTGACGATACATCCCACAACTCCGAGCACTGACCCAGCACGTCAAGCATGTGATGTGGAAGACGGCCACGTTTGAGTTGGGCCTTTGGCAGAAAAGGGGTTTGCATCGCAGGTCCAGGCTGTGATGTAAGCTGTATTGCTGCTTGGGCAATACAATCTGTCTTTCTTTATGGCTTTGGAGCTGTCAGTGATGGCAAAAGATGAAGTGTGGAGATGATGGCGAGCCCAAGGGAGACAGTCACAAATTTGAGGGAGTGCTCTCAGGGCTCACACGTGAGAGCGAGGGCCTCCTTAACGGGTGCACACTAGGGGCCTCTCTTGCCTCATCATAATCCTGTCCCGGGGGTCAAGTGCTCTTGACTGCTCCTCTGACCTTGTTGGCTGTAGGGTAACTCTGGTTACTCCTATGTTTTATTCTAGAAGCTTTATAGATTTTACATGTAGGGACGTCTAGGATCCATTCTGAGTTAATATGTACTTATGGAGGTTAGTCTCCAGATGAATTGAGATTGATAGATTTCCAGCCTTTCCTAGACTTTTTTTTCCTAATCCTCTCATGCCTTCTTCATGAAATTAAATATTGAGAAATAGGGTTTTTATGTTTTTTTGGGGGGGGGGGAAAAAGGAAAGTTTTGGAGCATCACAAATTGAGATTAAGATTATATGATTATATCTAAGATTTTGTTTTGCTCTCCCCACATTGGGGGCCATATCACCCCATCGAGAACACAAAACCCCAATGACCCTTATATGGGTGTATTCTTATAGGGGTCTTCCTCGTTTTTTTAAAGCTTACATTTTCTTTTTATTTATTTATTTAGGCCATACTGCACGGCATGCGGGATCTTAGTCCCCCCCACCAGGGATTGAACCCAGGCCCCCAGCAGTGGAAGTGTGGAGTTATAGGTGTCTTCTTTTGCTTAGACAATATGTATTTAGTATGCCAACTTCAGATCTGTAATATGGACCAACTTTAGAACACCAAGAGACCTCGTCATCAACATAACCGTCACTTCAGTGATGTCTAGCCAAAGACTGTCTAAATGTCCTCAGCACTGTTCACAAGTGCTCAACTAGTGAACTAATGTCCAGCAAATATCAATATATGCTTTATCAGCACTTCCTTTCTCTGGTTTACAGAGCTGTCCATCCACTTACTCATCTACTCCTTCAATATTTGAGTGCTTCTTACGTGGTAGGCACTGGGTCTGCAGCAGTGAGGTAAAGTCTCTACCTTCTCAGAGTTTACAATCTAGTTCACCTTGTTCCTTCCTCTCCCTTTTCTCCTAGATATCGATTCCAAACATTATTGGTGCTGTGGTCACAATCTTGAGGTTGCAAAAATTCCTTTGGAAATGGCTGGACTAGACATTTTCCTGATCACTTTCAGATGATTTAGCCACAGAAGAATTCCATAAATTTACCGAAGAAATATGCCGTGGTGGAAAAAGTAGGTATTGGTTTTAGAAGCCAGGTGGCTACGGTCTCTATCCTGACGTTCTCACTCATTGTGAGAGAGTGTATCATACTTTTAAAAACACCTCCGTGTGAGACTTAAACAGAAAAAGACTTAAGAAAAAACTTCCTACACTTCTGTGTTAATGACAACGGTGTGTTTCAAAAAACACTGTCTCGGAGACAGAAGAATTATTTCTAGTTTCCTATTTTAATCACAGGAAACTATGCGACTTTCATTAGGTCCCTTCTCCCTTTGAATCTTTCCTCACCTGAAACACCAAGATTACGCCAAAGGTCTCCCGAGCTTTAAAGCAGAAATCAGCTCCGATACAGGGAACCTGTTAGTCTTATTCAACTAATTGTAAAAACTACCTGTGCGTTTTAAAGTTTTACCTGAGCATGTATGGATATTACAAGACCATTAACCCAGCTTTTAAAAATGTGAATAATGTTGTTTTTTCACAACTGAAGTCAGACCAGCAAGCCTAAGAGAGGGAAGGTAATTTCAGAAAATCAAAGGGTGGATGATAGGCCCAAATAAATTCTGGTTTCATTCTTGCTTTGGAGATCACCCAGCAGGTAACTGATTGACTCCTCACCTTATTCAGGCTAGCACGACCCAACCCTCCCCAATTAGCACCCAGCTCTGCCCGCCCAGCTCCGCCCAACAGCTGGATCTGTTTGCAGGTCCCGGAGGCAGCTCCGCCTCCATCCCCTTAAAGCACCCGCCCAGGCCCGCTGCACGTGGATGCGCCGCGGGCGGAGCTGGGAAACTCCGGAGACGTGACGTAGCGGCAATCTGCGGCTGCGGATTGGAGGCCAGGGGAAGGAGGGGTGGGCCGCATTGCCGGAAGTGACGCATGCCGGAAGCGGCTTTCTGCCGAGAAACTGGGGCCGAGGGACTGGAGGTTAGGCCGTGGTGATCCGAGCCTGGTTTCCACATCTCCGCCCAGTTCACGGCGGCTTCACTCCTCACGGTTTTTTTTGTTTTTTTTCTCTGCAACGTGAGTGGCGTTGCCTCGCAGTGATTTCCGTGGGCGTCGCTAAAGAAGGACCTGGGAGGAGAGGAAGCCGCTGCAAACTGGCCAAGCTCCAGAAGGCGTGGAAGTACCTCCGCGTTTCCCATTTTAACTCGGCGTGAGCAGCGCGCTCTTCCCGGGCATCGGTGGTCCCGGCACGTTGTGGGTGGTATTCATTGCCCAGAAGCTCCGTGTAATTAGGAGAGAGAAAAACCACCGTTTTCCAGCATTTCTCGTGGAGGAGGAGAACTAAGCGATAGGAAAATGTCTATTTTCCCTAAAATATCTTTGAGACTTGAGGTTGAAAACTATCTGAAAGCGGGCTTTATGAATGAGGAGGTAGGTCAGATAAACACGTTAGATGCTATTTGCAAAAATTCAAATATTTACACGCTCTAGAGAAATAGAAAAATAATCTAAAAGGCAATCAAATGTGTACAGCAGTTGTTTCTTAGTATTCGTCTTTCCGAATGTAAAATATGTTAATATCTTTCTGCAGGTATTTAATGTATGCTTTCCGAGCTAAGAGGTGTATGGGGTGTATGTTTTAACATTTAGGAATGGGAAAGGAGGGAGGGGGAAAAAGCGGTTGTGTGTCTGGCGGCAAGAATGCACTGAAGGGATTATAAGGGGCAAGACAAGATCCCCGTCTCCCAGAATTTAAGTCCTGTAGAGAAGAAACGCCTGTACTCTTAGAGCGCCTGCCCTGGCGCTCAGGTGGAAGGTTTACTATCGTTCAGTGAGTGCTTCTTAAATGCCACCAGTTGTGCTAGATGAACTGCAGACCTTTACATCTTAATCTGCGCAGTCTTTTTTTGGTAGAGATTTCCTCCCCAATTTTTATAGGTGAGAGAACTGAGGGTCCAAAGAGCGACGTTAAGTGAATCAAATTGACACCGCTGTCATGTAACAGTGTTGAAATGTGAAGGTAAAGAGCTCAGGTCCAATGGGAAAAGGAATGGATTTGGGACCCCAAGCCCCTGGTTTGCATCCCAGTGCTTTGAGTGAGTTACTTCACATCCCTTAACCTTTCTTTCCTTTTCTGTGAAATTTGAGGACGGTTAACAGTACTAAAATTTCAAGGTGGTTGTTTTAACGTATTAATCGTAAGTGCAAGCACCTGGCATCGTTTTGGCGCCTAATGGGTCCTCCACAAATGTTCCTTCTGTGTGCTGCTGGCAGTGCCGAGCCCCAGAAGTCCTCAGTGAATGTTGATCGTCTTTGATTGCCAAGCCTGTGCTCTCTCCACCTTACCATCCCGCCTGTAGGCAATTTTGTATTTTCCAAATCTTTGGTTTTCTATTCGAAGTGAAGCCGCATAAATGTTACTCGTTTTCAAAGATTTTCGTGAAGCCATGACTTCCAGGTTTGATTTCTACATTTTATTTCCAAAGGTTATGTTAAGGGGCAAGACAGTACGGAAAGAGAAAATACCTTCTTGATTTCAAAGAACTTAAAGTATAAGGAGCGTATTAAGAGAAATAGAGGCAGTCAGCAGTTTTTGTTCCCAGCAGTTTTTAAAATGGTTAACATTGTTTTATAAAAAAAGATTCAAATGTCTGTCTTTGACACCAGTTCTGCCGCAAACCCACTAACTATACGATTTTACAAAAAGAAAACCCATCCCTTTGTAAAAAGTATCAAAGGTAATGGAATATTCAGTTAAAAAAAACAAACCTTGAGAGAGTACGAATATTTTTAGGCTAGTGGATTATTAGGCTGGCAAGTGGTTTATGAAGATTCTGTGAGGCTGGGTATAGTCAAAGATGACCAAAAAAAGGGGAAATACTTGTCTCAAAAGCTTTAGTTAATTACAAGGAAACTCGGTCGTTAGAGTCTTTATAACTTTATTTCTGACAGGTATCTTGCTACCTGTCTTTTTTTGGACAATATCTATCTTTTACATTAATAATACTATGTTAAGCTGATGTTATGGGGGCTCTTTGGGTGACGGTATCAGTGTTACTCTTCAAGTATTGGTGTTTTAAAACGTTACTAACCAATTTGCTCTAGGATACGGGGTTAGCAAGGAACTAATTCTACAGAAGTGATGTAACAGTTAATGTTTTTAGAAATAAGTAGAATGAAACCCTGAATTTATATGAATAAATGTAGCAGGTATGTTAATAATGCTTTTTGGCTGTGTTGGGTCTTTGTTCCTGCGTGCAGGCTTTCTCTAGTTGCCGCGAGCGGGGGCTGCTCTTTGCTGCGGTGCGCGGGCTTCTCATTGCGGTGGCTTCTCTTGTTGCGGAGCACGGGCTCTAGGCGCGTGGGCTTCAGTAGTTGTGGCTCGCGGGCTCTAGAGCGCAGGCTCAGTAGTTATGGCGCACGGGCCTAGTTGCTCCGTGGCACGTGGGATCTTTCCGGACCAGGGCTCGAACCCGGGCTCGAACCCGTGTCCCCTGCATTGGCAGACAGATTCTTAGCCACTGCGCCACCAGGGAAGCCCGAGGCAGCGTTTTCTAAGCCCCTTTTGTCTGGTGTTTCACTATGTGTTTATTAGCACAACCCTGTGAAATATCGCGATTCCCGTAGTGTTATTAACACATAAACAATGCAGAAAAGCAAAATGGAACCGAATAATTGCCGAATGTTTCATTAGTTGGAACAAATGTATAGACATATATCTTGCTTAATATTTTTAGTTTGTATAATGAAACTGAAACATTGTTCTTTTCTTCTTTTCAGGTTGTATCTGTTTTAGGTAAAGAAGAAGCAGAAAGGAAGTTTGAAACTCTGTTACATAAGTTGTCCCACCCTCCATCATTCACTACTGTCAGAGTAAATACGCATCTAGCCTCAGTACAACATGTGAAAAGTCTGTTATTTGATGAGCTTCAGAAGGTTCGTGCACATTTTTGTCATTATGTACAGAATTAGATTTCGACAATCTGTGTCATGTCACTCCTCACTAATGTCATGTGAACGATATACTATTACAAGTTTACAAATAAGGAAATTGAGGATCACGAATGTTGTTCAAGGTTATGTAGTGAGTGCTCATGCTAGAGCTTGAACCTAGTACTTCTGATTCTGAATTAATTTAGTGAATGGATAGGTCACTCGACCCCTCTGGGCCTCCGTTGCTTCGTCATTAAAATACATAAGCGGTCCATTCTAACCCTAAAAGTCTGTGATATTGTAATAAGCAGCATATAACGACCATGAGGGCAGATCACGTAGCCAAGGTGAGCCCAGAGGTAAGGAGGTGCCTACTGATTACCTGTAGGATTATATTTTTTATTTTAATATAATAATTTAATTAAATATAATAAAAGGAGGAAAATAATGTAAAGATATGTTTTAAAGATAACACAAATTTTTTTTGTTCAACCAATAAAATAGTTTTGGCATAATACTAATTTTCTGTAAGTGAAAACAGCATTATAAAATGGCATTTTTAAAGTTCCATGCAGAAAAATAATACTGGAACTTTCTTGTTTATATTGTCTTCTTTGCTTTCAAAAGCTGTACTTTTTTTTTTTTTTTTTTTGCGGTACACGTCGCCTCTCACTGTTGTGGCATCTCCCGTTGCGGGGCACAGGCTCCGGACGCGCAGGCTCAGCGGCCATGGCTCACGGGCCTAGCCGCTCCGCGGCATGTGGGATCTTCCCGGACCGGGGCACAAACCCTTGTCTCCTGCATTGGCAGGCAGACTCTCAACCACTGCGCCACCAGGGAAACCCCAAAAGCTGTACATTTTATAAGTGAAATAAGTCAGATAGTGAAAGACAAATACTGCATGATATCACTTATATGTGGAATGTAAAAAATACAACTAACTAGTGAATGTAACAAAAAAGAAGCAGACTCACAGATACAGAGAACAAACAAGTGGTTACCAGTGGGGAGGGAGGGGGAGGGGCAGTATAGGGGTGGGAGTGGGAGGGACAAACTATTGGGTGTAGGACAGGCTTAAGGATGTGTTGTACAACATGGGAAATACAGCCAATATTTTGCAGTAACTGTAAATGAAAGGTAACCTTTGAAAATTGTATTAAAAAGTTTTTTAAACCAGAAAGAAAACCCCAAAGCTGTGCATTTTGTGTTTCATACACTGTGTACTGAAACTTGCCTCCAAAGAAATGTAAGATGGAGGAAAACAGGTGCTTGGAGGGGGTACTTCAAGTTGTATTTTGTAGTTATTAAATCTCTTCTAACAAATAACCATGATGGGTGTCAGCAGGCCTATTTCTACGTAATTGCCTAAATGAAAAGGAAGAGGTAAGCATGCTTAAAAGACTTGGATTTGTATATCACAGGCTGTGTTATCAGTTTACTCTGGATATAACTTACAGATATTTTCAGAGAATTTTCACTGGTATTGATTCTTTTTTTAAAATTTTATTGATGTATTGTTGATTTACAGGGTTGTGTTAATTTCTGCTGTACAGCAAAGTGACTCAGTTATGCATATAAATATTCTTTTTTTTTTTTTTGGTACGGGGGCCTCTCACTGTTGTGGCCTCTCCCGTTGTGGAGCACAGGCTCCGGACGCACAGGCTCAGCGGCCATGGCTCACGGGCCCAGCTGCTCTGCGGCATGTGGGATCTTCCCGGACCGGGGCACGAACCCATGTCCCCTGCATTGGCAGGCGGACTCTAAAACACTGCACCACCAGGGAAGCCCTAAATATTCTTTTTCATATTCTTTTCCATTATGGTTTATTACAGGATATTGAATATAGTTCCCTGTGCTGTACAAATAGGACCTTGTTGTTTGATTCATTTATTTTTTGTCTTTAATCTCATTACATTTATGGAATGTTTATCGTACTCTCTTTAAGAACAATTCTATGAACTTCCAGTTGTGAGGAGATGACCAGGTTATAAGAAGAACCAGCTACGATTTCTGGCTGTATGAGAACAAAACTTAGTATAATAATTTTAAGTAAGACTTGGAGAAAGGTTAATCTGATTTTTAATAAGAGCGGTAATTTTATTGAGAGTAATGGCATAAAATATAAGCAGTTCCTCTAAGCAACTAAGATTATTACTTTTATGTAGTCGTGCATGTAGGTTTTCAGTATGAAGGAAACTGTTCTGAGGCCCATAAGGTGTCCATAAGTCAGGCAGATCCAGATTGTTTTCTTTTCTAGGAAATTATTCCTAGAGCTTAGATAATCTAGGATCCCACTGTGATGGGAATAGAAGATCTCAGGGGTTGTATCTAAGAGCAGGCAGACGAAATCGCTCCGGGCTTTTGAGTCCCTTTCCTTGAAGGTTAAGATAAGACTGAGGAGGTTGGGTCGTGGGCACTAGGTAAGTATCTGGTGGTTTGTGCAGTGCCTGTTTGCAGCAGGAAAGGAGATTCGCAGGAGGTTTTAGATTGTACATCTCCTTTCTTTTGCCATGTCCCAAGCTCGTGTGTGTCCTAAAGACATATCCTGAACGGTATATGAGTGGGTGCTTTGTCTCCAAATATCTCTGTGTCCCATATTGAAATTTAATCATTTAAAATTTCATTTGACTGGTGAGGGATGTGGAGCAACTGGGACCTTTATACGTTGCAGGTGGGAAAGTCAAGTGGTTTGGCTTCTTTGGAAGACAGTTTGGTGGTCTCTTAAAAAGTTAAACATAAATTTACTGTACAACCCAGCAGTTCCACTCCTAGGTGTCTACCCAAGAGACATGAAAACATACGTCCATGCAAAGGCTTGGGCATGAACATTAATAGCAGCATTGTTCATAATAACCAAAAGGGAGGAGCTATGCAGCTGTCCATCGACTGGTGAATAGAAAAACAAAACGTGGTATGTTCACACAGGGGAACAGTATAGCAATGAAAGTGGTGAACTGATACGTGCTGCCACTTGGGTGAACCTCAAAAACACTATAGTGAGTGAAAGAAGCCACACACAAGACAGTATGATCCTGTTTATATGAGATGTCTCGAAAAGGCAGATTTCTAGAGAAAGAAAGTAGGTTAGTGGTTGCCTGGGGTTGGAGCTGGGAACAGGCGTTGGCTGCAGATGGACATGAGGAATCATAGTGTGTTGATGGACAGGATCTGAAATTGGATTCCAGTGATGGTCACACAATTCTGTAAATTTACTAAAAATCATTGAATTGTGCATTTAAAATGGGTACATTTTATGGTATGTAAATTAACCTCACTAAGGCTGTTTTAAAAAGGGCATGGGGTAGAAACAAACAGAAGAACAAGCAGGTGATATGCTTGGTTTAAAAAAACGTTTGTGGTGTTTTATGGAAGTTACAGACGTGTGGTTTTATAAAAGTTTTATTTCTGTATCATTTTAATATCTGATAAAAAGGGAGAGAAGGGAAACCTTGGCCTGAGGAGGATTGATCTCTATGTAGACTATTTCAATAGTATAAAGAAATAGTACTTCCAAAGCAAAACAAAAACAAATGGCAAAATTCATTCTCTTCTCCTTGGAAGGATCCATAGTCTGGATGCTGTAAGGTATCAAACTGAGAGAACATGAGGGAGAGAGGGAAAAAGAAAAGGGAGAGAGGTTTGTCTGAATGAGTTTGCCCTTAAGGTTTCTTACTCTTCTGTTGGATAGGGTTAGTTCACAGTATCCTTTGCCTGGAGGAAGCAGAAGGCGGAAGAGCTGTTGACTTGGTAGAAATATGGTCAGATTTCTAGAATCTGAAGAATTTTTTTTCTCTTTCCTTATCAACTTAGAAATAGGTTGATTTTGGGAGTTTTCTGTAGGTAGTGTATGGATACTACAAGGCAATGCAAATACCTCTTATGGTCACTGCTCTTTGGTGTATTATGTGAAATGAATGAGTTGATAATCCCTAGCCTACATGGCAGAGACTTGTTCTCCAGTATTTGCATGCTGCCCTCCGATAGGGTACACAGCCCTTGCTGTCCAGTCCACTGTTCCGCGTGGAGTGCCCCGTTGTCTTCCGCCTGCAACAGTGGTGTGCTGGTACATACTGCACGGCGCACTTTCTGGGAAAAATAATGCTGGTGTGTGGTGTTTGCTGAGTTTTGTGGTGTAAACGCTCCCACTCTGGTCGATTTCAAGCTACCAGCATGACCATGGAGTTGGGAAGAGCTGCACAGAGTTGGCTCCCATGAGACTGGGAGTTGGCCCCAGCACCTATGCCACTGGCCCTGCACTTATTTCCAGTCTGAAGGCCAAGTATGGTAGAGGATACTGAAAATCCTGAGCCTTTGCCAGGAAGCATCATCCAACTGACATGGCATCCAGTGTTGATAATATATAATAAATAGCATTTAGTAATCTCAGTCTTTAATGTCCTATTCATGCAATCCTATATTGGATACGTGTTTGCAGAGTAAGTCACGTAAGGTCAACAATGGTTCGTGTTTACAAAGTCAAAAACAGTAAGCAAAATTGAGCCTTTTACTTGTAAAGAAGTTAAGATACTTGAGAATCAAATTATAGAGAAAACATTGTTGTTTTGAAGTCTTTGATTTTTTATAGTATCCCATGGAATAAAGTGAAAATACCCTAAATCAAGCTCATTACCGTGCTCTGCTAGGTAATGACACTGAAAAGCTCTGTAACTTGAAATTTAACCAATATACTGATTGCTTTGTAATCCTGTGTGTTTATTTTTAACAGCAGTTTAATGGATTAAGTTTTCCTATTCTTCAGCATCCAGACCTTCAGGATGTCTTACTTATTCCTGTTATTGGACCTAGGTTTGTAACTATTTCATTTTCAAATTGTATTCTTCTAAATAAAAATGTCACAGGTTCTTTTTTACTGTTTAGGGACAGTACTAAGTTTCTCCATTATTAAGATAGGAATTCACAAACTTGGTAAATGCTGACTCTATAGTCTTTCATGGAAAATATTACAGAAGAACACTAGGAATGGGCCCAGATACCTTGAGACTAATGCATTGTACTTGCGTTTAGTGCAGTGATTGATTTTTTTTCTGTGTTATATCATGTTTTCTTTTCTTTTTAAACATCTTTATTGGAGTATAATTGCTTTACAATGTTGTGTTAGTTTCTGCCGTGCAGTGATTGATTTTTTTCCATTCTGTAAGAAAATTACTTTTACGTTTGTTTACTTGTATATCTTGATTCCACTGCTCAATTAAAACTTTATTGAGCTCCAACAAAAATACAAAGCAACATTTCCTACTTTAATAATTGATATGTTTGTAAAATTTTATTCATTCACAGTTATGTTAAATTACTGTGTTCTCTGAGTAGAACAGACACTATGTGTTTGGAGGGATGTGTTTACAATTTGAAAAAATCGGCTTTCATATTATAATGGGAGTTGTATTGAAAATCCCTAATTGTGATAAAAATTTTTTAATACCCCTAAGACTTATAATAAACATAAAAATGCTCATTTTGTTAAAGCTTTAAAGTAATTTAGTGGTCAACAGTAGAGCAGTGGTTTTTGGTTTATCCACGCAGTGGAATATTACATGGCCTTTATTATTTTTTTTATATGGCCTTTAATGTGGGAGAATTATATGTACAAATAAAAGGTGATGTTCTCGATAAATTAAATACCAAAAGCATGTTGCTTTGTGTAGGAATGTAGGAAATCACATTTCTTTTGCAATTAAAAAACACACACAACTACAGATTTATATATATTTATTTATATACGGAAAAAAGTCTGGAGGGTATAACATACCCACCTGTTGACAAGGATTAACTCTGAGGAAGTTGGATTGGGAGAAACTGGGTAAGAGGAGATTTTCACTTGTAACATTTCTGTCTTTTTTTTTTTTTTTTTTTTTATACCATAAGCACGTATTACTTCTGCAATTAAAAAAATTGATTTTGTAAACTCCCCTTTTTTTTTTTGGCTGTGTCGGGTCTTAGTTGCGGCACGCGGGATCTTTTCGTTGCAGCGCAGGGGCTTCTCTGTAGTTGTGGTGCGTGGGCTCTGTAGTTTGCAGCACGCGGGCTCTCGTTGAGGTGTGCGAGCTCCGTAGTTGTGGCGCGTGGGCTTAGTTGCCCTGCAGCATGTGGGATCTTAGTTCCCCACCCAGGGATTGAAACTGCGTCCCCTGCGTTGGACGGTGGATTCTTTACCACTGGACCACCAGGCAAGTCCCGAATTTGTAAACTCCTTCTTCTAGCTCTTTGTTAAGGGGGAATTTGCATTAGTGAAATGCAGAGATCTTAATTAAGTGTACTATTTGCTGAGTTTTGGTAAATTCATACAACTGTATAGTCAAGACTCACCCCCATCAAGATATACACCATTTCCATCACCCAGAAAATTCTCTGCATTCTGCCCCCCTACCAGGAAACCACTGTTCTGATTTCTTTCATCTCCTAGTTTTAAACCAATTAGTTACTACAGTTGATCACAGTCACAGGTCTTTTGAGTCCTGTGATTCATTTCAGAATGTACTGTGGACTCCATAGTTTTCCATAATCCTATATAACATTATTTCATTCTTTTTACTGGCTATGTAATAATCCTTTCATCTGTTCTTTGTAGTGAGCTAAACTACTCATTAAAACATTAGTGGGGACTTCCCTGGTGGTGCAGTGGTTAAGAATCCGCCTGCCAATGCAGGGGACATGGGTTTGAGACCTGGTCTGGGAAGATCCCACATGCTGCAGAGCAGCTAAGCCTGTGCGCCACAGCTACTGAAGCCCATGCCCCTAGATCCCGTGCGCCACAACAAGAGAAGCCCGAGCACTGCAACAAAGAGTAGCTCCTGTTCACTCCAACTAAAGAAAGCCCGCGCGCAGCAACGAAGACCAAAAACGCAGCCGAAAGTGAATAAAAAGTTAAAAAAAGTTAAAGCATTAGTGAACTATAAAGCACAAACGGTGAGTTACTACAGGAAAGCACTAAGAAATCTTTTAGGATTGTGGATTCATATACCTACCTTTCATTTCTAAAAGGAGAAGTTCGGCTCTTTTTTGTCTTTTAAACTCATCATCACTTTTATTAGGTTATCTTTTGACTTTCCACTATGAAAATTGAAGAAATTCTTATGCTTAAATTTGCCCTAAAACCTCCACCAACCAATTTTTATTTACTGTTTTTTAACAATGTAAAGCTTTGTAACATTTTTATTCTACAAGCATAATTCAAATGAATGCAGTGCTTGCTTGTAGCCCTGTTGGTAGTTTATTTCTGAGTTCTTTATCTTAATTGATCTCTTGGTTGATGGAATAGCGTCATGTAGCAGGTCTCCAGCACCTGCTTCCCTTCCCCCAAGTATGTCTCTTGTACGCTCTGTTTCCTTTCTCGCTTGAGAATTGCTTGTTGCCTTTATATTTAAACAACAACTTATAGGCTGATTATAGTCATTTCAAGTCGCATGTTATTTCCCTCAGCCCTTTGTAGACACTGCTTCTACAATCTTAGGGCCTCACGTGTTGCTATGAAGAAATCTGAGGCCAAAAAATATTTTCCCCCTTGCAACAGAATCTTGATATTTCACTTGGAGATCTATGGGATTCTTAGGCACTGGACTTTAGAAACTTCACTGGGGTATACCTTATAATAATAATATAATAATTGTTATTAATATTTATAATAATAATTATTATTCTCCTTAGTTTTCATTGAAATGCAATGTAATTTTTAAATTACAAGTCTTGTAGTTCTTTGAATATTTTTCTGCTACATATTCCTGCCCGCTCTGTTAGGAGGACACTGGTAGTCTATGTGTTGGTTTTCCAGGACGGATGCTCCCTGTGTTGGGACACCCCCAGACAGCCCAGGGTCTTGTGACGGGCTGGAGGGACTCACAGGACTCAGCATCTAGTCAGGCTCATGGTGGAGATTTATTACATGAAAGGGGTACAAAAGCAGAATCAGCAGAGGGAAAAGGCGTGCGGGGTAAAGTCTGGAGGAAACCAGGCGCGAGCTTCCGGGCGTCTCTCCCCATGGAGCTACCAGGACAGGCTTCATCCTTCCAGCAGTCAGTTGTGACATGTATAGAATCATTGTCTATGAGAGGAGCCCATTAGAGACCCAGCACCCAAGGTTTTAGTTGGGTGCTGGTCATCTGGGCGCCCTCTGCCTGGCATGTGATGAAATTCCAGGCTCCCAAAAGGAAAGCAGGTGTTCAGCATAACCACACAGCTTGGACGAACAGTTTAGGAACAGTAATTCACTCTTAAGAGGTGGTTTTATGTCAGTGCTGGGAACTGTTGGCCAGTCAAAGTTCCAGATGCTGCCGAGGGCCAACCTTCCAAGAGGCCTTTCTAAGAATAGCTGTCGCAGGCCTGTTACGTTGACTCTTTAATTTCAGAGGGTTTACTATCCTTTACTTGCTGAGCTGGGCTAGTTCACTTTTGTTCTTTATTTTTTTAATCTTGTTGTTGTTATTATATCCCTTTTTTAAGGTTCTTTTTAGTTTCTTTGAAACTATACAGAGGTTATTTGAAATTCTGCCCTTTTTTGGTCTGTACATTTTGTACTGCCTTTTGTTTATTACAACTTTGTTTACTACTACGGACGTCCCTCGGTATCCATGGGAGATTGGTTCCAGGATACCCCGCTCCCCCCCAACATACCAATAATCACAGATGCTCAAGTCTCATATAAAATGGTGTAATGTTTGCATATAACTCATGCACATCCTTCAGTATGCTTTAAATCATTTCTAGATTACTTACAATACTTAATACTATGTAAGTAGTTGCCAGTGCACAGCAAATTCAAGTTTTGCTTTTAGGAATTTTCTGGAATTAAAAAAAAATGTTTTTTCGTCTGCGGTTGGTTGAATCCATGGATGCAGAACCTGAGGGTAGACAGGGCCATCTGTACCTACACATAGTTCCCAGTTTGAATGAATCCTTGAATGAAAACTTTCACATAGATTCACCTAGTTTGCACTTCGGGTCAAGTGTATACCTAGACGACTCATCAGATGTGTCTTTCAGAAATACTTTCACCAGGTCTTTCCTAGTGGCACAACTCTAGTCCTGGTGAGCTGAGCTGAGAAGACTAAGGCTCTGTGAGGGGGTCCAGCTCATAGCTTTTTTGTTGGGGGCTTTAATTTTTGTTTACGCTTAGTGAACTCGGGGGAGGAGTGACAGAGTTGGTTGCGCTTTCCCTTCTCTTCCCTTAGCTACTTCTAGGCAGTTTGTCCAGTTTTGGTACAGAAAACACAGATTGTCTGCTTGTGCCAATTTTGCCAGTCCAGTCCTCTGTCATCTTTATCTGCAGGGCACAGGACACTGACAAGACGTTCCCAGATTCTCCTTTTTTCTGTCTGACCCGCTGGTCCTGGATCTAAGCAGTAAATATTTGTTTAGGCACCCAGAAGCCTTTCCTTTTCAGAAGCATTCATACGCTGTTGAGGAGCTAGGTTTGATCCAAATTTTACTGTGTTAGCTAATTATTCTTAATCATTTGGGTAATAGCTGTTTCTTAGTTTTCTTGCAAATGGAATTTTCTTTCAGGTTTTTCTTTCCCTATTTCTGTGGGCTTTAGAAAAAGGAATATACTTATACTTTTACTCTTTGACTAATCTTTTACTAGAAGCTCAACATCATCCAGTTATTTAAGGTATCAAAACCTAGGTTAAACTATTTATAGGCAGTAAACAATTGAAAAAGTAATTTCTCACCATAAAATTCAGGTTCCCTCATTTAATTTAACATGCTATTTAATTTACTGATCAAATATATTTTAATGTTAGGAAGGTTTTATCACTGGTAATTAGATTGAACGTAAGGTTGTAATGCTGATT